TCCGAGGTTTTACGACGCTCACGAGCGGAATAGACCTCGAGGTGTAGACGTGGAAGTCGTAGCTGACGATTTTGCCACTGCTCTTTGTGAATTCCCTCACGCACTCGCGTAACGTAATCGCGCATTCGTAATCGAAATGGATGCAGCTATCCGTTTACAGAGAGCGTGAATAGAATTCCTCTTCTTCGATTAAATTTCGACTAAAGAAACCTTCGATTTCCTGCACTAATGCAAGACAGGTAAACCGTGAAACATATCTCTTTTCAATGCCGAAAAAAAATCGACCGCGACCTTCCGCGCGGCTTCCGGTTGCGAGAAAGGACCATTCATACGATTCTGCCGGTGATTACAAAGTAATCGGAGAAAGGTATCTTTGTTATATAAGGCAGGCCTCATTGTCAAGTTGCCATTCTGCAATCAATGTACGCGGCGAATAAATGAGTATGCGAGTCGTGGGCGTCTAGGCTCTTACGCTCCGAAATGGGGGAAGGGGGGGAGGACCATTAAAAAATTAACGCTCCCCGACGCATCACGCCCACGGTCACGGTTCGAACGTAATTGTACGCGATCGCGTAAGTTTGCACTTCAGGATGCGAATCCCGCACGGTCCATCACCGACCGGTGAAGCGCGTCGGTTCCGGCCTGCTTTCGCTTTCGTGGTGTGGAAAGAACGGAACGAAAAGAATTTACACGCGCACATACGTATAACATATACACACATGTTTGGTAACATTGTGTGTGTGTGTTGATGTTCTCGTATGATAAGTAATTCGCGAGTACTCGGAAATATCGCAAATCGACGTAAAAGTGAAATGCCGGTGGTATTAAGCCGACAATAAAAGCGGTCTTATGAAACAGTTATAAAAACCGACTTATCATTCCCCTTAGATCGTATACTTACTGCTCTTGTATTGTATCGTCGTGCGAAGTCACGTCATACAAGATGATAGTTACACGCAGACCAAATTAAACACAAAATCAGAGGTATCCGAGAAAACTACGATAGATGATGCTAATGATTCGGATTATTATGGAATCTCCGGATTATTACAGAAAACATGATATGACAGTAGGAAAGACAATCGAGAATATAGATCATGGATTGGACTCGATCTTAAGTATGTTTCCCGATAATAAATTTGATGAGGTCAACGAGAGACCAGCTTTTGGAGAGATGTCGTTTTCTGCACTGAAAAGTCGGTCCTATCAACCTTTATTGCAAAAGAGCAATGTTGAATCGAAAGGTAAGAGAAAGATTTTTCGCCGTATAGCTGGTGCGATATAGCACGTCTAAGTTAAAATACTTTTTCACAAGGATCTCAATTTTTTACACAGATCAGGAGATACGTACCACCAACCTTTCGAGGCCCAAGAGTATTAGATCAATTCAATTAAACGCAAAATCGAAGATGTCTGAGGAAACTATAACGAACGTTAAGAATTATTTTCAAATGTCGTCATTGCCTCGGTTGTCCCGATCCGCGTCCAGATCTCGACGCCTCTCCCGACCCTCGACTCGATCTCCATCCGGATCTCGATTGCCGTTACGGTCCTTATTCCGGTGCCCGTCCCGATTCCCATCCCGATCCACAACCCGAACCACGTTCCCGTCGCAATCTCGGTACCGATCTTCAGTGCAAGAGCGGGTAAATCAACAATTAGATGAAATAGCAGAAATGTACACACCAGTGATCTTGCGACCGAAAAGGCAGATACCATTGCACGTGTTAAAGAGTGAATTGAAAAAAGATGAACGATTGAAAAAAGGTGAGAGAAAGATTTACCGCCGTAGAAAAACACATCACGCTAAAATAAAAATATTATTTAAAAAATTTTATTTTACAAGAATTTTGATCTCTTACGCATATCAGAAGGCAAACACTAATAAAAAACTGAATTATTTTTTTCAGATCGTCAAAGTATGTTGCAGTTTTTTTTCCCGGATACGCAAATTGCTGCTGAAATGGCGGTTCAATGATGTATATTCATGAAACACCATTGTTAAGAATAAAAGAGATTTTCCAGCCTTTACTGAAAAATCAGTTTCCATATTCCATGAACAATGCGAGGTACGTCAAATTGAACGGTAACATAAAGATTTTTTACTGTAGAATGGCGCGATATCGCGCCAAAATAAATATATTAATTCACAAGAATTTCAATTTCTTACTCAGAGAAGATAAAGACCCTCAATGAATTCATTAAAACCATTATTGATCCCGCGATCACCGAAGTAAGATTAGGGATTCTCGCTAAGAAAGGCATGCGGTCGCCTCGGTTACACCAGTGGTTATCGATAATAAAACAATGGATTAATACTACAGCACTGTCAAAAATCACCATCAGAGATTGAGAGGATATTTACAATTCACCGGAAAAACATTCTCCACTGCCCACGAAAGAGAGTAACAATCAGTTGATAGGTGAGAAAAAAATTTTTCATCGCATAGAAGTGCGATATCGCGCTAAAGTAAAAATATTATTTCACAAGAACATCGATCTTTTACGCAGATGAGGTCATCCATATTGTAGCGGAGGACATTAAATTGATTCTGTACAAGTCGTGTATAAATAAAAGAAAGAAAACCAAAGCAATTGAAAGAGAAAAGGAATCCAAGAAAACTATGTCGACGCTGTGCCTTCCCAAAGTATCAGTTCCGCCAGTTGCTGTTGACAGAGAACGACAGAAGACGGAAAGGTAACACATTTTTCGCCGTGAAGAGATACGATATATACCAAATTGAAAATATTATTTCACAAGAATATCGATCTCTTACATACATCAGGAGATAAATATCTGCGAAGTTCGTGATACCTAATCAGACAGCGGCAAATGGAAGCAGAATTACATCAGGAACGCTAAAAGTGAAGTAGATCATGCGACGATCGCACTTGAGAGGGATTGATCGCCCACCATATTTATTGCTCCCACGATTTTTACGTTGTCCAATAATTATTATCAAACTAACAGAAAAGAATGACATGCCAAAGACTCTCGACTGTGAGTCTTATGAATTTTTCACAGTATTTCCGATTATAACGTTTTGACCTATCATCAAACTATAGAAAATAACAGCGCGCTACACTGTAAAAAATTACATTTCAAATTAAAACAATTATAGTGTGTAATTTTAAAAGCCACTATTAAAAGTATATATTTTCATAGCTTTGTAAGTAAAAATACAACTTACAAAAAAATTATTTTTCTTTATAACAATTAAACATTTTACAAAAGTAAATTTACAAATAAAATTTGGTTTATAGAAATATTTACGTAATAAGACGTACTTTAATTTTCTCTGTTCAACATGAAGTAAGTTATTGGATTACGTAAGCAACAATTTTGAATTTTAAATTTATCGCAAATGAGAGAATTACGAAGAATTATATACAGTTTGCAAAAATTTGTACATTTTCATTAAAAAAATATAAAATATACTATTATTACTGTAATTTTCTGTTTAATATAAATACATTTATTAGAAAAAAGAACTAATTTTTATAAAAGCGCACATTTTTTAAATATATTTCCATTATAAATTATGCGTAATTTTACACTTTTTTTATAGTGCTGAGATAATAATATAACGCGCATCTTTAACGAATCTTTCGATCTTCTACAAAATCTCTGATTGTCGAATACGTCCAATATCCATATCGCCCAATAGGTTATCAAACTGAAAAATCACCTCGTGCCAGAGACGTACAATATATGTTAGCAGTGACGAAATTAGTAATGACAAAATTAGTAATGACATTTTAATCATAAGTTTGCCGACTTTCACAGAATTAAATTTATATTAAAGTATTAAACAATGCGTAAAGTAAAACAATACGACAAAGTAAAATTGTATCTGAATACTTGAAGATAGCATATTTTCGTGGTATAAAATAAAACATACCGATGAAACTTAATAAAAAAGTACGATAAATGCAGAAAATATAACAATATTAAAAATTAATTTAATGTTCGATCGACTAAAAATATGTGCCATATTCGTAGATACAGCTAGATTTTTTGTATTATACTTTCATTTTGTAGAACGAAAGATTGCAATTGATTAAATAAACATTTAATCAATTGTAGTCGAACTTCTGTGTTACGAAATACTGCTTGTATCTTTTATGTAAAGTAAAACACTTTGACGACTGTAGATGAAATCTGATATGGAACTATATGGAACTATCTAGATGTCAAACCCTAGAAAACTCTCGGTTTTCTAATTAATGCCCAGTTTTTTTTCGAAGAAATCACGGATTCTGGATGAAAAACTTACATTATTCATTATTACACGTAATCGAGCATTCCGAGTGAAAGTAAAAGCTCATAAGCGATTGTGAGCAGAAGGCATTTTATGACAGCTCGACGCGACGCGTTTGTGGTACTGACAAGAGCAATGGAAAATTATTTTGCCACAAAACAAAGATTATTTAAAGATAAATTCAATTATGTATAAAAAGTTGACTAAATGTCTGTAAAAAAATATTGGATGGTACGTTATAAAGTACTTTAAAAAATGTAATAAAACAATTGTTGAAAGTCTGAGTATAAAATAGTTTTGAAACTATAAAATTCACGGTTATTTAAATTTGTTCATGTCTTTTATCGTTTTAACGATATAAACTTTGAAACATTTTCTTGTTTGATTTTCAAGATGTTTTGTTCGCTTTAGCGAGCATAGCAGCCCTGTGAAAATACATTGTTATGATCTCTTGTTTTGATCTGTATTAGTTCAAAGGACATATTGGAAAGACATTGTGTATGTTTTCCTGTGAGGAAGCAGAACGTCTCGAAGCGACAAGTCAGTTGACGAATAGTCCCGGGAGCTTATACATTGCCAAAAACGCTGTATCAGGAATAATTCAGGGAAACATGTTCGCGCGGCAAATAAAGGTGCGTAACCTCTCGTCGTTTCTCTTTAAAAACGTGAGGAAATATCACGATTTTACGGTAACTGTACTCCACCGTCCCATAGTCTTCCACTTGTCGCGATAGACCGCGGTTGGCGAATCGTGAAAGTCGATTCCGATCAAACGCTCCCACAATGGGAAACCGTCGTGGCGGAATAGAGACGTGGAGTTAAACACGTGGATGTAACTCGATGCGATCGTCGTCAGCGTTATTTTCTCCTCGAGCACGCACTTCTTAATCACGTAGCGTAATTAGATTCCGCTGGACCGGAGGACCTAACAAGTCATAATTGTCACAGGTAGCACTCGCGAGTAATCGTACATTTTGTTTATTTTGCGAGATCTTAGGACACTCACGAGCAGAATAGGGTGGAATCTAGACGTGGAAGTCGTAACTGCTTCTTTTGCCACTTTGCGAATTCGCCCGCGCACTCGCGTAATGTAATCGCGTATTTGTAATCGAATAGACGCAATTATAATATCCATCGGTTCATCTACAGAGAGCGTGAATAAAATCCTTCGTCTTCGGTTAAATTTCGACCAAAGAAAACTTCGATTCGCCGCGTTTATGCAAGGCAAGCTAAGCGCGACTTTTCAATGCCGAAAAAAAGAAATCGGAAATGACCTTCCGCGTGTTACCGATTTCGAGAGAGGACCTATTCATACATTTTATCGGTATAATAGTTACAAAGTAATCGGAGAAAAGTATCTTTGTTATATAAGGGATCTCATTGTCAAGTCGCCTTTCTGCAACAAAAAGTTTGCGGCAAACGAATGAGTGTGCGAGGCAGTGACGGATCCAGAGAGTTGTTTTTTTGAGAGGGAGGGGCGGTATGACGAAATCTGAATATTTAGATATTATTGTCGTTAATGTTATTTTTAATATTTTTTATTATTTAAAAAAATTGAGTGAACATTATTTAGTCTTGAATAATCTCTGATAATTTTTTTCTCAATTCATGTAAGACCGACTTTTTTCAATATACGAAATTTGTTTGGAGAGCTCTGGGGGGGGGGGACGATCCCTCCTCTTGTATCCGCCAGTAGTGCGAGCATCTAGACTTTTCAACATTACGTCGAGACGCTTCGAGAAAGGGGATGGGCAGTAAAAAATTAATGCTTTCCGATGCATTACGCTCACGATCATGATTCGGATGTGTGATTTTGTATCGCGATCATATGTATGTACTTCAAGCGTGAACCCCGCACGGTCCATCAACGATCAGCGATAAACCACGTTGGTTTCCATCTGTTTTTATTTTCGTGGTGTCGAAAGAACGGAACGGGAAGAATATATGGTAGAATCTACACGCGCATATACACATATATACAACCATGTCGGCGATATTCGTCATATATATCTATGTGTATGTGTGTGTGTGCGCGAGCGCGCATATTCGCAAGCCGGTAAAAGTGAAATGTCAGTGGTATTAAGTCGACAATAAAAGCGGTCTTAAGAAAACAATTGTAAAAAGCGGCTTATCATTTCCTTAGATTGTATACCTACTGCTCTTATATTGTGTCGTCGTACGAAGCTACTACACACCCGATTATAATTACACGCAGACCGAGTTGAACGCAGAATCACAGGTATTCGAGAAAACTACAACGGGTGATAATAATCCCAGCGGATTTTTATCGAGATTCAGAAATGCGCTAATCAGAAGAACAGTAAATTGTACACTTGACTGGATCGGAGAGTTCGTGCAAGATTACTTTTTTGAAAGTTCTTTCAATGAACAAGAGAGCGACGACAGATCGAAAGGTGCAGAGAAAGAGATTTCACCGAAATGTCACCAGTGCCGAATTTAAGGAAGTGAAGGCCCTTGATTTTTTAATCAAATTTTCTTTTTAATCAGGTTTTGTTTATGCACGGAAAGAACGATTTTGCTGGTAAGTCTAAAAATTTTGCTGGATACAGATCTGAAACTAATTTTGTTGGAAACTCAGAAATGATGATAAAATTGCATTGCTGTAAAACATTTTAATATTCTGGCAACCAGTTTGAACTTCCAACAGAATTATTTTTATGGCGCAACAAAACTATTTTCAGATCTGTGTTCAGCAAAATTTTTAGACCTTACAGCAAAATCGTTCTTTCTGTGTGAACGCCCCCAATTTGTGCAGGGAACTCCTAGGCAGTCGCCCAGCTCGCCCTCCCTCAAATCCGGCACTGGATGTCATCAAAAAAGATGAAAATACTATTTTGCAAAGATTTTCAATTTTTTTTTTAATACAGATTTGAAGATATACAAGGAAACTACGACAAATGCTAAGAATTCTTTTCAAATATCGCCGACGTTCCGGTTAATGATCCGGCCCTCGTTGGAAAAGGCGGTAACTCAATGGATCAATAATATGATAGAGTCAACGATTAATTACTTCCGAACAAAAAGGCAGATACCATTGCACGTGCTAAAGAGTGAACTGGACAAACTGAAAAAAGGTGAGAAAAAGATTATTCGCTGTAAACAGGCGCCATATCGCGCCAAAGTAAAAATATTATTTTACAAGAATCTCGATTTTTTTAATGCAGATCGGGAGATACATACCACCGACTTTTTGAGGCGCAAGGCTAGATCGATTCATTTAAACACAAAATCGATGGTATCCCAGGAAACTGCGACAAACGCTAAAAATGACTTTTACATATCGCCATTATCTCAATTGTTCCGATTCCTGTCCGAATCCCCGGCCCGATCCTCTTTCCTATCTCGATCCCCTATCTTCGACGCGCTATCTTCGTCTCGGTCGTCGTCTCACAATCAGTCACCGTCGCGATCTTCATTGCAAGAGTGGATAAATCAACAGCTCGATGGAATAGCAGAAATTTACATGCTGGAAACAAATAAAATTTACACGCCAGAGAAATTGCGACCGAAAAGGCAGATATCAGTGGCACCATTGTACGTGCTAAGGAATGAACTGAACCGATTGAAAAAAGGTGAGAGAAACATTTTTTGTCATAGAAAGGCACGATATCACTAAAATAAAAGTATTATTTTACAAGAATCTCGATCTCTTACGTAAATCAAGAGACAAACACTAATAAAAAAAACCCTTATTTTCCTTAGGTCATTTAAGTTTATCACAGTTTTTTTCTCGGATACATAAGTTGAAAAAACTGCTGAAACGGCGGTTGAATGACGTATATTCACGAAATATCGTTAGGAAATAGAAACAGATTTTCCAGCCTTCACTGGAAAATAAGTCTCCATTGATCGTGAAAAAGAGCAACAACAAAATGAAACGTGAGAGAAAGATTTTTCACTGTAAAAAGACGCGATATCACACCAAAATGAAAATATTTCACAAAAGTCTCGATTTCTTATGCAGATCAAAAGACATGGAGCAAGAAGGATAGGACGACGACTGTGACGCCGTTAGATAACGATGACATCAATTTATGGGTGGATGAATCTGATTGACTACTCTGACTATTTTAAGGAAGCAAGATTAATCAAGAAAAGCACGCGAATTAAAGGTGCTAAGGATTACTCAACATCATAATTGTCTCGGTGTGTCACACTAGTGGCTATCAATATAATAAATCGATGGACCAATAATACAACACTGTTAAATTCCACCATCAGGGTTTGTGAGAATATTTATAAGTATTCGAAAAAGCATACTTCACTGTCCGTGAAAGAGAGCAACGAGTTGAGAAAAAGGATTTTTGCCGTGTGCGATGACGCACCAAAGAAAAAATATTATTTCACAAGAATATCGATCTCTTGCGTAGTTGAGCAGAAAAAGATCGTCTATATAGTACATGGAGAGAATTTTTTTTAAATTTACCCTGCAAATCATGTTAATTATGGGACAATTTAGTATTTAGGCAAATTTTACTGTGCACTACAATAAATTTTATAGTAGTAAAATGCAATACAATTTATTGTAGTGCACAGTAAAATTTGCCTAAATACTATATTGTTCCACAATTAACATGATTTGCAGGGTAAATTAAAAAAATATTCTCTCCGTGTATAGTAGAGCACGTTATCTTACGATTATGTACTAGTTCTGTATAGATCAAAGAGTAAAAATCTTTATTTACAGAATGAGAAAAGGAAACTGAAAAAGAACAGAAAACCAAGGAAACTACACGACGGACGCTAAAAATCCCTCCCAAATATCACGATCATTCCACTCACGCCAATTGCTATCAGAGAACGACAGCCGACCGAAAGGTAGCGGATTTTTCGCCGTGAAGAGATGCTACGTCGCGCTACAATAAAGATATTATTTTACAAGAATTTCAATCTCCTACATAAATCAAGAGATAAACACTGGCGAGATTCGCGAATCGGGCAGCGACAACTGGAAACGGAATTACACCAGGAACGCTCAAAGTGAAATCGTTTGTGCCGCTAATGAAAGAAACTGATCGCTCAATTTCTCAGTATCACCGATTACCATGTCGCCCAATAATTATCATCGAACTGTAGAAAAAAGCGACATGTCAAAGACTCTCGATGGTATACGTATACCCTGAATCCGTCCGTCCTTCCATAATATTTCCGACTTCGAGTGTGATGTATGTACATACATACGTGTACCTCGAATTAGCACGTCCGATTACCATCATTTCTAGGATAACGTACTTATGTGTCAAATCTTCTTATAATTCCCAGAACATATTCTGCAATTATATTATGGTCCGTTTATTATCATCAAACTATAATGAATAACAGAGATACAATGTGTAACAGAAATACATCAAGGGACACCTAATAAGTCCTTCGATCCTTCCACAATATTTCCGATTGCCACGTCGCCCGATGGTTACCAAACTAAACAGAATCACAGCTCGCCAGAGATGCATAATGATAATAATGACGATATTAGTAATGACAAAAGTTGAACAAAGTTCATAATGACAATTCATAAGTTTGCTAGCTTTCATAGAATTAAGTTTATATTAAACAATGTAATGAAATAAAATTGTATCTGGATACTCGAAAATAGCATACTCGTCGCGTAATTAATCAGATCTTTGAAACGTAATTAACTGTAGTACGATAAGCGCAGAGAATATGACAGTATTAGAAATTAATTTAATGCTCGACTGAAAATACATGTCATATTTGTTAGATACAAATGGATTTCTTTGTATTATACTTTTATTTAGAGGAACAAAAGATTATAATTGATTAAATAAGCATTTAATCAGTTACGTCTGATTTATGTCATAAAATACTGTTTGTCCTTTTTGTGTAAAATAAAATACTTATCGAGCAACTGCAGTTGAATTCTTATATATGAAAGTCTATATATATATGGAACTATCTAGATGTCAAATCCTAAAAAACTATCGGATATTTAATTGAATACTTAGTTCGTCTTTTTCAAAGAAATCACGAATTCTGGATAAAAAACTTACATTTATTATTACACGTAATCGAGCATTCCGAGTGAAAGTAAAAGCTCATAAGTCCACGATTGGGAGCAAAAGGCATTTCATGATAACTAGACACGTTTGTGATACCGACAAAAATTATTTTGCCAAAAAAAGATTATTTAAAGATAAATTCAATTATGTATATAAAATTTGTCAGATTTCTAAAAAAGATTATTGAGTGATACATTGAAATAAAACACTTTAAAAAATATAATGGAACAATTTTTAAAAAATCTGATTATAAAATAATTTTGAAACTATAAAAATGATTGTTAAAATTTGTTCGTATTTTTTACCGCATCAACGATATAATCTTGGAAACATTTTTCTATACTTTTCAAGATATTTCCCCGCATAAGAGCCCTATATGTAAAACTACATTGTTTGATCTCTTGTTTTGATCTGTATTAGTCATTGTATGACCTTGTATGTTCTATGTCCTTTTGACATATTCAAATCGAGAAGACGTGTGTTTCTTTTTGTAAGGAAGCAGAACGTCTCGAAACGACGAGTCAGTTGGCGGATGGTCCCGAGGGTCTATACATCGTTAGGAAACGCTGTATCGGAAATATTGGGAAACATGTTCGCTGGACAGATAAAGGTGCGTAATTTCTCGTCGTTCTCTTTTAAAACGTGAGGAAATATTACGATTTATACTCCGCCGCATACTCTTGCACTTGTCGCGATAGACCGCGGTTAGCGAGTCGTGAAAGTCGATTCGACAAAACGTTCCGACGAAACGATCCCACAATGGAAACGTCGTGGCTGAATAGAGATGTGGAGTTAAACACGTGGATGTAACTCGGCGCGAATATGTCTGCGTTATTTTTTCTCGAACACGCCTTCTACGCTAATCACGTAGCGTAATTAGATTCCGTCGGGTCGGAGGGCCTAACGAGTCATAATTGCCACTGGTAGCGCTCGCGGGTAACGTACATACTTTGTTTCGAGTTCCGAGGTCTTAGGATGCTCACGAGCGGAATAGAGCGAGATCTAGACGCGGAAGTCATAACTGCCGCTTTTGCCACTCTTTGCGAATTCGCTCGCGAACTCGCGTAACATAATCGCAATATTCGTAGTCGAAATGGACGCTATATCCGTCAGTCCATTTAAAAAGAATAGAATCTCTCTTAATTCGATTTCGCGCTTATGCTGCAAGGCAAGTGAAACGTATCCGGTATCTCCTTTGTCGAAAAAAAATCAGAGACGAGCAGCGACCTTCCGCGCGGCTTCCGGGAAGATTTCGAGGGCCATTCATACGATTTTGCCGGTAATTACAAAGTAATCGGAGAAAGGTATCTTTATTATATAAGGCGGATCTCATTGTCAAGTCGCCGTTCTGCAACCGAAGTTCGCGGTGAGCGAATGAGTGTGCGAGTCGCGAGCGTCTAGACTTTTCAGCACCACGCTCCGAAACGCTTCGGGGAGGGGAGGG